AATAATTCACCATAGATAACAGTGAATCTGGAAATGAGTGCAAGGCAGAAGGTGCCATTTAGCAGGGTTCTGCCGTCTCTCCAGGGTGTTCGCTCAAGTATCGCCTCCAACGCTATGTCTGATGTAGGACGTTATAATTTAACGGTTTTAAGAAGCTAGAAGAACTAGAACTTAAAATTGAATGTTTCACAAGTTCCTCACAGAGTGCTTCTCAAAAAGCGGTGCGTACACTTAAACAATTGAGATAATGCCTCAATTTCTGAAATTGGAATGGTTTGAGAGAACTAGAAGGGATTATGCTTGGCTGGTATAAATGTAATCTTCAAAGATTTTCTCAGGGTAGCTGTGAATGAAGTCTTGGATCTCTCTTTTTCCAGTGTCTCCTGGGTTGAGCAGGCTAAAGACTCTCGGCCTTCCTGAGGTATAGGAGTGCACAGAGACCTTCGCAGCTTTCGATACACAGCAAAGATATTGGGCAGGTCCTGGCACCTCTTGTACACAGGTATCCTTCTATTTACCCTGCTGCATTGTGCCCACTGAAATGGGCCTTGATGTGTGACTGAGCACCATTTAAAGCACTTTTTATTTCAGTAGTTTATTGTTTCCTGATGAACACATCATTTCAGTTGCTGAACAGCACCTTTAGGGTGTGTAAAATTAACATAGCCTTATGGTTTTCTTCCAAACTTATCTAAAAATATAACAATGATTTTTTTTTTATCACTGTTTGCCTACCCAGAAAATCAATGGTCTGTGTCCATGGGACATTTTGGGCCCCAACTCTTTTTCAAGTCTCAGGATTCTCATCAGAATTCCATAAAAGAAAAAACAAAGACATTAGCATGTCTGGACTAAGGTGAAAACTGGGTGTAAAGTCAAGTTGAAGACAATGCTGATTTTGTTGAAATTGGGAATCATTCTACACATTACCTCTGAATTGTTTGTAAATTTCACAGTACCATCACCAACAGAGTTCTGGTAGGCACCCAAAAGATCCCAGCAGTATACAGTTACCATGTATTTGCGTAAATATACAAAAAATCCTTGTGAGACTTGCAAATCACCTCTCAACTTCATAAATCTTGACCATAAAAGTCTATTTTTTCAGCAACTGAGGCTTAGTTTTTGTATGGGAACTGTGCATCAATTTAGGAACGTTTGTGATCCTCATGTTCAGCTGGCACTCAAGTTGTAGAGAGCTCAACAATATAAATAAACCAGACCACTTTAAGCATATTTATTTGCCAAAAGCAAGGTGCATGCTTGATACGCTTGCTGAATTATAGCATATTGTCTAAATACTTCTAATACTTCTGAATGTGCTTGTTATGGATGGCATGCAGATATTTGGAAATTGGTCAGGGATTTGGTGAAGCGTGAGGAGTAAGCAGTCCAGTACAGGGAAATACTCAAAGCATACTTTGCTGATGCAATCCTTGTTTGTCCCTTGCACCCTCAGCTTTTACATGAGTTGATTCAACCACTGCAGCCAAAACCCTTGTTGTCAGGAAGGTAAAAGGAGGGACAATAGTTTTCTGTGTAAGTCCTGTGTTGTATCAGCTCACAGAGAAATTCTGCAAATACCAGCCTGAGGTTAAGTAGCTGGAGGACATGGCTGTCAGGGCAGGAAAGGCATGTAGAACCTCTTCCTTTTGGCTGCAGTGCGCTCTTAAATTATGTCAGGTCATCTAATTTAAAGGCACTCTTGGATTGTAGCTCTGCTGCAGCCAAGTTGTATGAACACTGGTGCAAAGCTGGGGGCAGTACTTTTACCTATGAAAATTAACTTTCTTCCATCTGAAGCTGATATGATAGTCTTTATTGTGGAGACAGGAAAACCTGTCTGGCATCTCAGTATGCTTAAATGCAAAGTCACTCATTTAAAAAGTAATGTCCCACTCAAAGACTCCACAAAACAGTATTGATTGAGAAAGTTATCTGTAGCAGCCAGCCAACTGAATAGGAACCAACTAAAATAGGAGCCATCGCTGCACTGGAGTGACTAAGAAAACAAATGCTGTCCTTGCCCTTACCAGCAAGGAAAATGATTACGGCAGTACTACCATTAACGAGACTGGTCCTTGTATACTTTTAGAAACAATGGACAGTGAAGCAAGTAGTGTTTATTTGGGAATGTACAACATGGCCTTTTCCATGCAGCAAGAGCCTGAAGAACTAGGGAGCACCTTCAGGACAAATGTTTTAAGGGATTTTGAATGCCTCAAGGTTTTGGCCCATGATGAACCATGGCACACCATGCTAAGGAATTCACTGCTGTGGTGCCAGAACTGTTCTTTGGTGTACACGCCAAATTAAACTGCCTGGTTTCACATATCATATAGTAGTCTTGCCATTACAATTCTTATCCTTGGGGGCCTAGAAGCCACTGTCCCCTTGCAGTATTTAAGGATTACAATGGCAAAAATAGATCTAATGCAGACTCATGTTACAAATGTTCTCCCACATGGCATGAATAAACAGCTTTTTATCCTTCTAAACAGATGGACACCATCCAAAAAAATCCCCAAACTATTTCCTGACACACCTGTGTAGGCAGAAGTGAGACTAACAGCTACAAAGTCTCATCTTAACATTCCTCACAAGTCCTCTTTTGCAGCGAGAATAGACTTTTTCACCCCAGACCCTTGACTCAAGCAACTCATTTGATTTCAGGCCACCTTGTTTCAAAAGAGACATATTTTACTGGTTGATAAGTTATTTTATTTACTTGGTTTGTCTTACTTCTGCAGGTGTTATGTTTAATTGTTTTCATACTAGTATAGCCAATTAAACATGGCCACACCCACAGCTCTATTTTTTTATTATTAAATGCAAGTATTGCAATAACAGCTGATGAGAATGACACCAAGTCAAAGTTTTGGCTATACTTTTATTTACTTCACGTACTATGAACATATACATTACATGCTACAAAAAAAATAAAAGAAGACTTTAACTGTCAAGAAAGTGGATAGTGTTATAATACAATGGCACATGTTCATATTTTTCATCAAACTGGTTTGGTTAGAATCCTTCCCCAAAACCATTAACAAAAATGAAGTGTTTTACTCTTAAGATGATTAGAAATATTTGCATTATTAACAAATACAATTCAAACAGATTAACAAGATTTAACCAGGTCAAATATTAGTAAAAAGGCTGGGGTTTACCAAAATGAAATATATATTAAAAAAACCATAGCAGCCAGTTGTACTTTTTAGTGTGATATAATGTGTAAATGCACCAGAAGAACACAGTGTAATTGAGCATTCTGCTTTCACGGTGTATTTCTAGAAATGATTATTCTAGTTCTAACACCTGCCTATGCACAAGAGACCCAAAACACAGCCAAGTAGAGACAAAAGATTGTGACCAACATTCTTAGCAATGAATTTTTTGCACGCATGGAGAAGGGAGGGAACAAATAGAAGAGGATAAACAAAGGCCACAAAAGGATTTAATCTACATGTTAATGAACATATGTTCTACCTATTTTCCTTTAAGAGCTTGATAAGTTGAAATGTCCATTTCTTCCAAATGCAAACATACTCATTTCTATCACCTATGAAACAAAATCACATTTCATCTTAGAACTGAATAGTGGAAAACAGTTGCATTAATGTATCAGTTGACTAAGAAAAACTGCTTGACAAGAACTTAGGATTCTAGTGCAACAGCAGCTATTAAGACTCCTCTAGTTCCTCTTTTTTGCTCTTTCAAAGTGTACAAATACTCGCAATTTATACAGTCTTAACAAAAACACATCTACAAAGTTTGCAGGGTATTTGCTAGTTAATTCAATTTACGTGTTTCATATTAAAAAGGTAGGATTTGCATAATAAAATTCCTTTCAGAAAAAAGTTCTTTTGGTATCTTAAAATAATTGCTGATTGGAAAGGTACAAACATAGAGGCTTTCATTAATTGCAACTGCAAAAAATACTTCAGAACAAAATGTGTTACTCTAAGAACACACAGTTCATTATGTTTATTTTGCAATGCCTGAAGAAAAATATAAGCATATATGGGCAACTGATAAACTCAGTATCAAGTCTGTTATTTAGAGTGCAGCTATTGAAAAAAAAAAAATCAGTCATAGTAAATACCAAGGTCAGAGGAAAAATACAAGTTAGCCTTAAAGAAACCAACGTGTTACAGAACCTAGTTTCTCAATTGTTTTCCTCAAAGTAGATTTTGTACAAAACTAGAAGAGATCCCACAATCACTGGCACATCACCCTAACCAAAAGAGCAATCCAAGCTAGAATAGTACTGCAATTCTTTGTTACCATTCTTCTCACACCACTGTCACAACTGTCAGTTTTCTAATAATCTTCAGTAGTGCTTATGAGACTGGTGATGGAAAAGTGTAATTAATGTACATTGGCGTTAGTCTACAGAATTAATGACTGCTCATTACCTGAAAATTAGTCAGACTTGCTGATGGATTAGTTTTGAAGTAAAACAACTAGTACTTAAATAGAACAGAAATATTATCATTTCCAGCATGTTACACAGTTCTGAGGTAAAGTGTTACCAGTATTCTGTTGTGTGGGTCGGTGCCTTGCAGCAATAGCCTTTGCAGTGGGAACTAGCCCTTGCAGCATTTACATCCAATGAGCCATTCTAGTCACATGATTTGCAACATCCAAAATAACATTTTCAGTTTGATAGCATTTAGAAAAAAATGTTCTGTATGGATTACACTGTAGTCAAAGTTACAAAATTTGTTTTCTTAAGTTTGGTCACTAGAGTGCTGTGTTTGTAAAACAATGCAGAGTACAGGCAAAGGATAGTTACTTCAGTGTTTTAATTTTAGTTTACAAAACTTACTGAATCCATTCTGATTTATGTTAGAGAAAACCAGATAAGAAGAATAGACAAAAAAAAAAAATCAAGCAGTGCATAATATCACTTATTCAATGCACTGATTTTCATTATGAGCTATGAAGCCATATTTACTCTATTATGCTTTTTGAGAATCAATCCAGAAGCACACAAGTATTTTCCATTAGTTTATTAAAAATAAAATCCTCATGAATCCACTATCAAATATTTTACAGATGGGAATTAAGCCAGAAGAGTCCCCAGAGTAACTTGAAAGTAATATTTGGTTTGTCAGTTCACCATGTTTGACGCTGATTTGTACTGTAAGATTATTGTACAACAGGAGTATTGAAGAATTCTAGAAAAATTAAACTGGCCCTATATAATTTAATTTTATTGGAAAGCAGTGTTAATATTTTAGTATATTTAATGACTCAAACACTGCTTTAAAGCTATGCATTAAAGTGCTACGCAAGTATTTTTCAGCACTGATATGGATGTTTACACTTCCATATGCCTTATATTTGTGGATAAAAAGAGATACTGGTGTGTTAATAGAAATTTTAATTTAAAATCAGCTGCTATGTTTGAAGCATCAACAGTACTGAAGAAATCAATCTAGTGTCCACAAACTTCTAGAATTCCGAGGTCGATCTGATCTGTCATTTACCATTAAAATGGTAAACATCTGTAAATCATAAGGCTGTCCTCAACGGGCTCTACAGAAATCTGTACTGTGCATAGTCAATCGACCATGCAAAGCACTATACAGCCTTTCTAGGACAGAGAATTCAGGATGGAAAAAAAAAAAATGGAGACAGCTCCAGGATAAATTTGTGAAATTTCTATCTATATATTGAATTGTCTAAGGTTGATGTTCATTGCCTGAGGAAGAAGCAACATAAGCAATAAGACTGGAGAGAGCTATAAATGTTATTGTAACATCTACGGTACTGCTTTCTCCAACTGCTGCTGCTGGCAAGGTCCAGTCTGCTGTGCACATGGACATAAGCAGGCATTAGAACCTATAATCGTGTACTAGTTCTGCCACTTGACACACAAGTTATCTACTGTCGTACCCTGAATTACATGACCCTTGATTAAGGAATGGTGGTGTTCAGTCCCAGGGGTTTGCAGGTTATCAGAATGCTTATACAAGCAATACCGCTTTCAACATCTGTCAGAACATAGTCTTGATGGCATCTGCAATAAAAACAAGTTGAGATTGTTCCCATCTGTAAGCGCAACTGTTGAGCCACACTCAGCTGAAGTCCTCATCAGGATTCTGTTGATCCAGCAGACGGACATGTGTGAATGGAAAGTGACCACGTCTGCCATTACATTCTCCTTCCCACTGACCACTCACATTAATCTTTGTGACCTTTACCAGCTCACCGACCTGCAGGATAAGAAACAAGGAAGGGTTACAATTCATAAAAACACACAGGATGAGCTGCTGCCCCTCCCCTTTGGTGTCACATCACCCAAGTGTAGCACAGACATTTCTATAAAAAATAGTTTTAGTCTTGACCGTTTTTGATACACCAGCCTACCACCCAATGTTATTCACTCCTGAAGAAAATATAGAGAGAAAGAAGCATACCTAGATTAGGTGAGAACTACCTAAACTGAAGAGCCTGCAATCCAACACCAATCTTTCAGAGCACTCGTGGGGCTTGACATCAGCTGCTATCACAATAAACACATCTTGCTGAGCTGACAGAGGCTTGCACTCTGCTCGTACTCCATCAACCACCTCATTAAGGGAGGGAAGGCTTGCGGGTGTACAAAGCAAACACTCATCTGCGAGCAAAACAGCTCCTAATTTTGAAATTCCACTAAGTGCTTTTCAGGTAGTATTGTTTTTCAACTTTTTGTTGTGGATACTTTTTGTATTTGTTGTGGATACTTATCCAGAACTTTTTGTTCTGGATAAGTGTGGTCTATATATATGCATATATATATGTGGTGTATATATATATATATAGCCACAGATCGTAAAACCCTGGGAGAATATGCGGGGAAATAAGTAGCAGCACTGTAAGGCTGCTCTGTTCTTACTCTGAGCATCCACAACTAGCTACTAACACAGGCAAGGCCAGATGATATTTCAGTCTTGCCCACAATGGATTTCTCATAAATTCCATGGGTATAGTATAAGGCAATTGATGCCTCTCTGTCTTACACCCAAATTGTTTGGCGAGAAAAATAAATGAATGGTTACTATGGACCAATGAAACAATATGCTCTAGTTTAGAAGTAACCAGTTCTCATGTGCTACCCTCAATAAAAGCACAGTAATCTCTCTCATATTCTTATCTCCAACCTCATACTCACATAACCAATTCTAAAGGTATTGTCTCCCTTTGACAAAGGTGGAAAACTGCACAGCAGTGGCTTTCCCAAGGCTGCACCATCCTGTAGTTCAAGTTGGGACCCCAAGTCTTGGTCTAAGCAGTACCCACCTCTGTTGTATCTTGAAGGGTACTTCTATTAAGTCGCAGTTACAGAAGTTAAGAAAGCACAATTTTTATTGTGAAGACAGCCGCAGAAGAGTTAATAAATCCAACACTGAAAAGCTGTCTACCCATTTCTACTCCTCTGTGTAGAATTTTATCAATAATCTTATTTACAAGTAACATACAACAGTTTTCAGAATTCTTCCCGGGACACAGATGAAGAATGCTTTTGGGACAGATACACTCTATTTTCTTTCACTAATACTGTAAATAAACTCCCAAGGCATGGCCACAAACCTTACTGCATTTCATCCAGAAATTCACTGAATATACAGTTACTCGTTTACACAGATGCTCATCACTGTGTTCCAAATTCATCCAGAACAGAATCCCATTATTCTCACTTTCCAAGCAGTGAATGAAGAACAAGAAAAACAATTTAAGATGTTACCAATCTCCACTGACTTTACAGGTTTTAATCACTTGCAATCTTTTGCCAGAACAGCTTTTAACAGTTCATAAATTCAAACCACTGCACGGACATTTAATTAAGCTTCCCATACCTCTGATGATTACTTATCTGGTAATGAGAGGCACCCTTGGGACTCTTGGCTGTAGCTTTGTTTTTTTCCTTTTGTAGTCATTAGCATAGACATTTTAATGAATCATATTTTGAAGAAAATCCTCTTATGTATTTGCTACAGGCAAAAAGGAAGCCTTCCTCGACTACTGAATGCTAGTTTCAGCTCTTTAGGAATTTAATCATGCAGTAGGTCTAATTTTGCTCCTGCTAATAATCACTGGGGGGTTGTACTAATAAAAATACTCTGTTGACCAAAACAATACATCAGCTATAATTTAACAAGGATGAGATTAAATGTGACAATATTAGAAGCAGAAAATCCTATTTCCTATTCACAACCACTACAAGAACACTATCCTAGATAACTTTAAATTGCTTCAGACCTGGAGGTAATCTATGTATCAGCCTTCAGCAGAAAAGCATATAACCTCCAACCCACTAGGAGAGAAAAAAACACAAGCTGCACTTAAGCTTGCTATCTGTAAGACTGTTTTTTTTTTTTTTTTAGATTGCTAGCCTCTGTGCTCTTAGTAAATATCACACCCTACTGTATGTTCCTACAGAGTTTATCTTGGATACTTTATGACAAACTCACCTGCAAAAGGTGGGTTCAATAGAGCAATGATAGTGAGTTAGAGTATGGGATGCTTGCGACACTCCCTCACTCCCAGAAGCATCCTGCAGCAGTTTGGTTTTCAGGGGTGTTTCAGGATCATTGCAGCAAAGTGACATCCATTTATGAATTCTCCTTACTATGAGAAGCTACACTCAAAATTTGCATTTCAGTCATTGTTAGAAGAGGAAAGATTGCTGAGCTTAAATATTCCTTTTTTACTATGATGGTATTTTCATTTAGCAACCACTTCCTCTTTCTGATACAATCTTTCATTCAAGTCTCATTTATATGTATATTCTCATTTCATTTATATATATCTTTACACCTACCACAGCAGGACTGACTTTAAGTAAGCAGGGGTCATTTCACAAATGCTAGCTGAATAAAATGGCTCCCTTAGTTCCTTAATATCTTATAGATCTTTCTACATCTGCCTTGAAACCCTGCATACTTATCCATAGCTCAAATACTCTCCTGAAGACAATTCAGAGAACCTTCCCAAAAAATTACTCATTATTACAAGTACTGGAATTTAAAAACATTTAGACTAGAAGGGTATGTTCTCTCTGAATTCTCCTCACTTTTAACTTATGGTCTCATTAGCCTATTGTGCATCATCCCACCAAGCACAGCACCTCAAGAACACCACTGTACCCTGCTATAAAGCTAGATTTGTCTCAGTCTTCAGGAGTTTTAAAACTAAATATATCCCATATGCTTCAAAGCAAAACTGAAGGTTCATGTGAAGACTTCTGTATGCTGTAGTTTTATTCCAAGTACTCCTCTTTGGTAAGGTCAAAATGGCAGAGTTCTGCTACTGTTACAAAGAAAAAAAATAAATTGATCCATCTCAGAGTCATTCACCACATACATCTTTCCCTTTTTCTCCTCTCTTTTATATTAATATAGACTGACAACTCCTTGAATACAAGCAAAATAAAAGTTATCTTCTGCTGAATCTTTTTTCCATAACAACATTTATTAGAACATCATTTGCTCTGATCCACCTTCCTTGAGCTCTTCAAAAGCATGTCAGTTTTAAAATAACACAACACTGCAGATATTCTGTTTGCAGTCTGAGCCAAAAATGTTTGATGTTAAGAATCTATTTTCGTAAGAGAGACAGGGGATCACCCCCACCCATGAATATTGCCAGATTGAAGGATAAGAGTTTTCGTTTGGAAAGGATCCCACTTTCTATATTTACAGTTATTAAGAGGTCTGGGCAAAAATGTACTGATAAAATTTACATTTACATTTCTGCTAGGTTATCTAAGAAAGAGATCTCTAAATAAACAGAGAAGGAACACCATGAAGTGAATGAGAATGGGAAAAAAGGAGACAACAAGAAACAGTACTTTGATAGACAGGATGAAGAAAAACTTGGAGAAAGTGAAGTGCATATTGCTATTTTCTCCTGTACAGACATTGAAAGCAAGTCAGTAACATTGTAATTCAAAATTATAAAAGCTGCAAAGAAGTGAGGAAGGCCTACTAGAAGCAGTGATAAACAGCTCACATTTTAAACCTAAAATTTCTCAATGTTATATGCAGAATAAAGAACCACCACTATTATTGCGCTATTTAAATGTAAAGCTGTAGCAAGACAGGAGCACATCATCCTAACAAAGAGGTTCAACACGTCAACTACTTAAATAAGTTTACGAGGCCTATCAAGGCCATTGTTCTAATCCAAAGGTAGAAAGACGCTATAAATCTTACCTATATCCTCAAGCCGATGGGCTGAGCCTACACGCTTCTGAATTTCTCCCTCCCGAACACTTCAGCTACCTAGAGCCTATTATCGTGAGTTAGTAAGGCACTAGTGCTGCAAGCCAGCTCAGAACAGAGAGATCTTCTCCATGAAACTACACTTTGTAAAGCACAGCGTACTTGACAGATCATGTGAGTTCTAGTAAAGAGGACTGAACTAACAGATCAGCCATGGCTTTCACAAGCTGTTCTTTAGCGCATAAAGGATTTTGCTTTCACTCAAAGTTGCTTACGACAGCTTAGAGTATCAATATTTTCTCACTCTCTCTATTTCATTCCATGCTATCAAAGCATAAGTTGGGCAGTGTTGTGGGATTCTGCTTAAAGTGAAATAAAATGTAAAGTTAAGCTTAAGAAAACACTGGTAGCACACTAATAAATGAAACAAAATCCAGAAGGAAAACCAAAAGGTTTTGATAAATATGCCACAACATAATCTCCAATGGCTCAAAGATAATCTAACATCTGGTAATTGCAACAGTCCACAATGACATTCAGGAATATTTCCAAGCTCCAGGA